TCTCATGACTTCCTTCCGTAGTCTTGTCAGATTTAGTCCATAAATGAGGGGGTTTAAAATGGGTGGTATGAGTAAGAATTCCAGGGCCATGAAATTACGCAAATCTTGTGGCAAACTATTTGAACCATAACGAGTGTACAGTACATCAAACAGCAAAGCAACAGTCACATTGAGCAATGCAAGAAGATGTGGTACACATGTTTGCATAAATTTTTGCCTGCCCTCTATTGACTTCCTGCATTTTTTAACCAAGTAAATGTATGAGCAAAATATCAAAATTGCATGTCCAAAATATGTCAAAATGATTACATACCCAATCACATTATTTACTGTTGTAGAAAAACAGGAGAGTTTAACAACAGACCAATTTTCACAATATAGCTTTTCAATAATAGAGCCACATAATGGTAGTCTTGATGTTAATACAATTAAAACACAAATGCAAAAAAATGGAGGAAGCCAGCAGAAAAGGATACATTCAAGAACCCTCCGATTGGTCATTACTGAATGATACTCCAGTGGTCTACATATTGCCACATATCTGTCATATGCCATCACTGTTAATGTTGAAAAGTCACACAGAACAGATACATAAATGACAAATATCTGAATCAAACATCCAGCATAAGAAATCACATGATACTGGGATAATAAATCATACATGAATTTAGGGTAGAATCCAGCAGTACCAAAAAGTCCATTTACACACAGATTACAAATAAAGACATACATCGGCTCATGAAGCTTCTTATGCGAGATTACAGTGTAAATTATGGATACATTACACAACACAATTAATGGATAATACAATGCAGTCAAAGAAAAAAACACAAATCTTTTCCCCATCATTTCATTTAGTCCAGAGAGTGTAAACATTAAGACAATGGATTGATTCTCTAGTGGTGGCTGCATCTGGAATGAAATGCAGACTTTTATGACAGAGATTTCATTATGCACATCATAATAAAAAATTAGTTGATAAAAAGTTAAAACTTAGATAATCATCAGATAGTCTACTCTTCAGTCCTGTGATAGCCTATAAACGGAAATATTCAATACTCTAAAGGTTGCATATGCTGGTTCTTTAAAGACGCACACAAAGAAATAATTAAAATCTTACCACAATCTCTTTGTGTTAGTTTGACAGTGCTGTGAAAAGTTGATCTGGTGATATATATATGAAGACTATTCTCATGCCAATTGCCTTGTTTGTGAACAAAAGCTCTCTTGAGAATTTTTTAAAAAGAAAATGTCAGTTACTAAACATGTCATAAAAGTAATATGAATAAAGAAAATTGTTTCACATTGTATTTTAATTATTGTAAATAAAAATCCCCAAATCTTAAAACCCTGGGCCCAGTTCCCCCAAAATATTTTTATCGCTAAGTAATTCTTAACCCATTCCGGGAGCCGATCCTCCCAATACACACACTACGCTAGCTTCGTAAGGCCACGCAAATTACTCAAGGCCCTGCCTCCCCCTCGTGTCAAAGCACGTCAATCAAAGTTTACAACATCAATGGCCCTGTCCCAAATGGCACACTCCGGACTTGTGGACTTTCTCAGAGTCCATACTTCGGTGACGTCATGAAGTGCAGACCTATAGTGCCCTTAGCGCGAGTCTTCGAGGGCGCATTGAGAGGTATTTCTGGGAAAAACTCGATCGTCACGCCCGAAACAGGAAGACGGTCTGGTTGTTGCATAGAAGTACAAAAACAGGATTTATTTTATTTTCCCATCTTATGTCCATGTGAACTACCTGCTTTTAAAGTTCTAATTGTATATGCCACCTGGGCATTGCAATAGATGTCATGGTTATGTAAATGATAAAAAAAGTTGTACATAATAATACATAATGTTCAATTTTAACACGAAATGAAAAAGTTCAAGAAAAATGTATAGGTTTCAATATTCATAATACGTTTATGACTCAGTAAAGCCAATACATTGGGTTCTATTTATGTAATGAATCATATAATGCGATCATATCATTTAACGCGCTTTTATTATGTTTCACATATCAACCACTGGTCTCTAAAGGTCGAATAGACTGTAAGTAACAACTGGTAAAATGTACGCCTATGTCATAAAAACCATAATGATACTTACACCTTTAATATTCCATCTTAACAGTCCGTGAGCAAAATCTCCTCCCATCTGTTGTCTGATTGGCCTTTCGCAAGGATTCCTGGGTAGTTAAAGTGCGTGGAGCCTGCATCTATGTGGGCTTCGCGGAAGACCGCTTCAAGGGTACAAAGGGGGCGCTGCTGAGCACACTTCAGAGATGCTTAAAATGCCAAATGGGACAGCCTACGGACTCGTAGACTTGGCGAGCACGCGCAATTTAAGTCCACGAGACGACAAGTCTGCGTGAAGTGTGCGATTTGGGACAGGGCCAATGAGATAATTAAGCGGAACTATCCTTCTGGTCACGAAAAGAGAGACTGAGAGAAAAACACCATGTGAGTGAATTGCGGGAACAGCGATCAGGCACACTAGTGTAATTTCTTTATAGTGCGGAAAATATGACCCCGCAACCAAAATACTATCAAAACACTCCAACTCAGCCTCTATTCTTCGCGAAAGATGGATAAAAAGAACCAGATGAAACGAAAACCTTGAAAAAATGATATACGATCTGACCAAATCACAGAGATGTCAATTCGCACGGGACTAATATTATCACAGGACCTCGGTGTTTGGCGAAATATAGTAGGTAATTTGCGGGGGAATTTTTACTTTACCGCAATTATTACAAATTACTACAGGTCACCAGATAATACTAATCCCGTGCGAATAGGGCTTTAAGCAACTTTTGAGCTTGGCATGGTTGTTGGTGACAGACGGGCCGGACTAAGTATTTCACAATCTGCTCAGTTACTGGGATTTTCATGCACAACCATTTCTAGTGTGGTGTGAAAAGAATGGTGTGAAAAGGGAAAAACATCCAGCATGCGCCAGTCCTGCGGGCAAAAATGCCTTGTTGAGGCAGGGAGAATGTGCCGACTGATTCAAGCTGACAGAAGAGCAACTTTGACTGAAATAACCAGTCGTTGCAACGGAGGTTTGCAGCAAAGCATTTGTGAAGCCACAACACTCAAAACCTTGAGGCGGATGGGCTACAACAGCAGAAGAACTTACTCGCTACCACTCATCTCCACTACAAATAGGAAAAAGAGGCTACAATTTGCAAGAGCTCACCAAAATTGGACAGTTGAAGACTGGAAAAATGTTGTCTGGTTTGATGAGTCTCGATTTCTGTTGAGACATTCAGATGGTAGAGTCAGAATTTGGCTTAAACAGAATGATAACATGGATCCATCATGCCTTGTTACCAATGTGCAGACTGGTGGTGGTGGTGTAATGGAGTGGGGGATGTTTTCTTGGTAAACTTAAGGGCCTTTAGTGCCACTTGTTCATTGTTTACATGCCACGGCCTACCTGAGCATTGTTTCTGACCATGCCCATCCACTTTATGGCCACCATGTACCTATCCTCAGATGGCTACTTCCAGCAGGATAATGCACCATGTCACAAAGCTCGAATCATTTCAAATTGGTTTCTTGAACATGACATTGAGTTGACTGTACTAAAATGGCCCCCACAGTCACCAGATCTCAACCCAATAGAGCATCTTTGGGATGTGGTGGAACAGGAGCTTCGTGCTCTGGATGTGCATCCCACAAATCTCCATTAACTGCAAGATGCTATCCTATCAATATGGGCCAACATTTCTAAAGAATGCTTTCAGTACCTCAATGAATCAATGTTCCTAATAATATTTTAGGTGAGTTTGTGTTGTTTAACAGACTACAAGAGAAAGCCATTTGTCACTCACTACAATATATTGCCCATATGATGCTTATGATTCCCATGCTAGTCAGGCCTGACAGGGTGGTATGTTTGTGACATTACCACACGAGAGACACTATATATAATAATGTATTTGTGTACTTTTTAAAGGTTTTACATGTCCTGTTGTCCATTTTTGTCTTTCATGAATATAGGACTCTACCTGGCATAGTCACAATCAAGACTTGTGCTGCTTTGATAGCTCCATTCAAGCAAATGTATTCATCCTGCATGTTCATATACATTACCTAAGGAAATAATAACTAAAACAGGTATAGTTTTATAGGGTTTTTAATTGTACATTTTTAAAATATTAAATATTTTTAAAATTAAACAAATTTAATATGTAAATATTAAACTTCCAAATGTAAACTGGTGACAGTACAGTACAGCAGCAACACTAATTATTTTCCATTTGGTTTTCTGTTATATCTCGGGATGCCCATCCCGAAGTAACTAGAAAGTACGTCAGCTATAGTTTGGATCCAGCATCTTCAGATCGCCTTAACTTGTGAAGAGATGAACAACTCCTGCGAGGATTTACGATGACACAAACTCTGAATCAATATGCACCAATCCTACGTTTTCCATTTATTATAATCATTATGTGCACTCATTATGTGCCTTAAATTCTGAATACATTACTTGGACATAGTCAGCTCTGATCATACTAAATTACTAAAATACTAACGGAGACGCATTCATTTTCTGTAAAGGTCCTTTGAAACTATATGTATTGTGAAAAGCACTATACAAATAAAGTTGAATTGATTTGAAATGTGAAAAAAAATCCGGATTCAAACCCATTTGAGACTAAGCATGTTAATGCAAATACCAGCTAAATATATTCATGTGCACCCATTAATATATTAAATTGCACAGTGTTGAGTAACAAGTAACAATAAGGAAATGTGGCATAAGTATTTTGTTGAATATCAAGGTGGAGATTGTTTCAAATTCAAAACATTAAAGGTGATGCTGACTTGTTTTATGATGACATCAGAAGTATCTGTTACATGAGAAAATAATGTGCCTCATCTTGTAGCACTAAACAAATCATTTCAGAAAATTAAGTTTTATGATAAAAAAAAAAACACTGAAAAAACAAGGAGCTTTTAATAATGTCATATTCTCCATTAATTACATAATCATGAGAAATGCACAATTTTTGACCGTTGGAACAAGGATGAAATGTTTTTGCGAATATCTGGCAAATTTAAACCATAAATAAGAGGATTGAGAACAGGTGGAATAATCAAAAATTCCACTGAAAAAAATATACCCACAATCTTGTATTTGTCTGAATCAGACCGACTTAGAGCAATGTCACAAAACGATGCTATAGAGTAGTTCAGAAAGCTTATAATATGAGGAAGACATGTTTGTAATGCTTTGCCCCTAAATTCTTTGGAGCTTTTTTGACAAATGATCAAAATTCGGACATAAGTATATAAAATGAAGAAAGCAGGGAGAAAAACTGTCGTTGTTGAGACAAAGAATCCAAGTATGTTGTTACTCAAAGTGGAAGTCCCACAAGAGAGCCGAACCACAGACCAGTTGGAACAGTACAGTCGATCTATGTCAGTCCCACACAAAGGCAACCTGGCTGAGAAGAAAATAAGAAGACCCATCGAAAATGCTGAATAAACTGATGCTATTGCCATGTATGATGCTGTTACTTTTGAGGTCATAATTTTATGATATTTTAAAGGGTTGCAAATGGCAACATATCTGTCATATGCCATCAGAGTTAATATTGTATATTCAGATATTGCAAAAGAATAAATTGTAAAAATCTGAACAAAACACGCTGGCCTAGAAATTGTATTTGTATCAGAAAGGAGATCAATCATTATCCTAGGGAAAAAACCAGCTGACCCATAGAGATCATTTACAGACAAGCAAAATATCAGGATGTACATTGGCTCATGAAGGGATTTCTCTTTAAACACCACAAACAAAATGATGGCATTCAATAGTATAATTGCTAAATAAACTGTAATTGTCAATATTAGGATGAAATATTTGACATGAACAAACTCCTTGAACAAAGTAAAGTAAAAATATGAAGGCATGGTTCCATTTTCCATTTGCTGGTCAAAACAATGAAAATTGCCACAAAAATAAAATGTATAGATTCAGTTGTTGCCTGTTATTTGAAGAAAAAAAATCAATAGTCTTTGAACTCAGTATAGCCTATAAAAATATATATGTAATTTTTAATAAAAATTATAGAAAAGAGAGATGCTCATAATAGTGAAGAGAATAGTGAGGAGAACTGGTTGTTGCCTTTGATCTGAGGCAACTGCTAAATTAGCAGTAAGCGGTTAATATAACAGCCGCCTACACCATCTGGGGCACATATACCATGGGAATTGACCTCATTAGTTTAGCTATTCATTAAGTAAAAAAATAAAAATAAAACAGAACTAGTGGTAATAGGTAATGGATGTATAAATTCTGGCATAAAACACAGGACATAAATTGTAAGTTGGCTGATTTTCAACCCGCTTTGAATTGTTACAGTGTTGGTAGTATACTGTATGTAAATGACCAATGTTTACTCTCTCTGGGTCGAGAAATTCCTGTTTTTGTTGTTGTTGTTTTTTTGTTTTTTTGTCAGTATGAACAGTGGGGTGACAAAGGGTTTAACAAATTAACAAAATCATTATTGTAGTACTTTGTTGTACTTATTATACGAGTAGGACTTTGTCTACTCTTTAAACAGCATTATGGTACAAATTGAACACTTCAACAGCCTTCTCACCTGTACTCGACAGCGTTTAGCTTAGGAAGAAGAAGATGTTCCTTGTTCCTCTTCCTTGAAAATTATTTTCCCCTCCATTTGGCCTAAAACACTGTTCCTAGTCGTCCACTTTGAAACGGAGACTACAAACACATAGGTTTTCTTATGAGAGTACTCTTTTATTTGCGTAAAATAGCTTACGCTACGAGAAAAGCCCTTTTCTCGAGAATACTGCAGCCAAAAAAATTCTCCTTAATTTTGCATTAATTTAAAGGGGTGATGAACTGAGAAATCAAATTTTCCTTGAGCTTTTGACATCTAAGAGTTCATCATATTATAAGAATATCCTGTAAGTTTCAGAACTGAAAACGTCCTTGTTAGTCCAATAAAAGCTTTTATTGACCCCAGCCTCTGAAAACGTTTTTAAAAGTGGAAAACTATGACGTCGAAGGGGTTAAAACACCACCCCCGCAGAACTTCAACCATGACTTTAACACGGCCGGTTTAGCCCCGCCCACCGATTCGCGCATTACACGCATAGCTAAGTAGCCTAACATACATGCCTACCTCGTGATGACAAACTGGATCGTTCTACCGAGCAATACAGAAAATTATGTGCAGTGCCTGGTTGCAGAAGACAGTCGCGGCATAAGCTTCCTCTGGATTCCAATAGGACTTCATGGATAAACTTTATTTTTAATGACGTTCCAGCTGATGAGGGTAAAACATCGTCGTCTGTTCGCTTCATTTCACTGAGGATTGTTTTGTAAACAAGACTGGATTTGCAGACGATTAAGAGTAAAGAACGTGCTGTGCGGTCTATATTGGATCTGACAGGAATTGTGCAACAAACGGACTCTTGGTTGAACATGTATGGGCGAATCCGGTTGCCATTTGACAACATTGGACGTTTCCCCCCACGTACACCGACGGGTGAGTTAAACTCATTATACTATGTAACTGTTATCCACTCACAGCAGTGGGCGTTTATTTCCAAGTCTTCAGTGCGACACGCCCATAAAAAACGACCGTTTTTCAGGAAGGCTCACAACTTGGGTACAAAATAGCCTATTACTTATTCATTTTGATGTTTTTGAATGCAAAAACCAAGCGAACGTCATAAGTTGACCTCAGACAACAATATAATAAAATTTTAAAAGCCAGTTCATGACCCCTTTAAAATGCATTGCTGCACAGAGCACACAGCAAAATCCCCAGTGTTAAATTAACACTGAGAAGGAATTTTTAAGTCACCATTATGGTGATTAGTGTTTGCTTTACTTGGGCTCTTGACCCTTAATTCATTAACCTTAATTCCAGGAAAAAGTGATCTGATGGTGATGGTGATCTGATGGTGATGGTTGATGGTCTGATGGTTTTAACATAATCAGTATTTCACAATTATTTGACCTGAATCACTGAATTCATATAGATCCTAATTCTGATTTAGGCTTACTTTATTCGTTATAGCAGCAGTGACCTTGTTCACGTAATGACGTCAATTCAATCATCGCAGCGGATCAAAATACATTCAAATAAAAGCATTTGTAATCATAACTTGAGTTAAATAATAGTACTTATCGTCAATTTCTTACATTTTGCTAATGAACCCTATAGGCTACAGATGATGTGAAACAGATGTTTTACATGTCTTAAAGATCTAAAGTGAATAAACTGGTCTTCATCAATTTTATTTTATTTGTTATTAAATAAACTTACATTTCGCCAAATTCGGTCCGAATTCGGAAATTGGCCAAAAGAAAGTTCGGTTCAGAAACAGTGCTATCCTGCATGCTCAGTATCTCCAGCTCATCGGTGTGCGGAAGAAACTCGGTTCTCAGTTCTCGGTTCTGTACTGGTGATTCGAGAACTGCTTACAACCAGTTCTTGACTCGAGAACTAGCCTGTGTGCTGAGCTGAGAACTGCTGAAACCACCAGCCTACAGTCGACAAAACTATTTGTGTTTCCAATCTTTAAAATAATACAGTGAAAAGACAGTAATTATGTGATAAACATGTTTCCAACACATTTTATTTTGTTACACTTATTGATGTTCAACAAAATACTCAAGAAACATGCATTTCTTTCCTCTGAAAAAAATGCACACTTGCTGAGTTCATCAGCCCATCTGAACACGTCCAAAATAAATAGTTCTCGGTTGTACTGGTGATGCGAGAACCACTGTACCTGCACGTTCGCTAGTACGTGCATGCTCAGTATCAGCTGCTTGTGCTCATGACTTCTCTCAGCACAACATGTCTCAGTTCAGTTGACTGTTGGAGTTACTGGAGTAAAATATACTCCGGGATATTGGTTTATTTCGATTCGAAGGGACTGTCAAGCATAAAGTGAGTAACTTTAGTAACTTGTGGATCAGCGCTGACTAACACAGTCTCATCCCAAAAAGTCATATAACTGACGTTTTGGGACGTATTTTGACCATACGTCAATATCTGCCTTTTTAGGGCCCCCTTAAATGTCGGTAGATGGCGATCCCGGGCCGTCATACAACTGACGCTTTACCTTTAACGTCAGTTAGGTGACGGGTTAGGTTTAGGGTTAGGTTTAGGTATGGGGTAGAGTTAGGATCCCATAACCTCATCTACCGACGTTTAAGGGGGCCCTAAAAAGGCGAATATTGACGTATGGTCAAAAGACGTCCCAAAACGTCAGTTATATGACGTCTTGGGATGAGACCGGGTTGCGCTGACGCAAGACGCGAACTGTTTTGAACGATTCAGTCCGATTTAGTATACTGGTTCGACCGGTTCACGAAAAAGAACTGGTTCAAAAGAACGATTCGTTCATGAACTGGCCATCACTATTTTGTATCATGTGATTCACGACGTTGTTGATGATAGGCGAGTAGATAGTAAGAAGTGAATGACAAGTGACGAAGACGACTGACAGAAATTTGTGGATATATTTGCATTTCTTGAGCGCTTTGAATAAAAAATTGCATCTGAAGATGGAAAAGCAGCTAAAAAGGTGTTCTCTTGCATCGAAGCAATATTAGAAAAATACAAAGAACACATTTATGCACTAAAAATGGCCTCCCTTTGGTTATATTTGAATAACTCTTGCTCAGAATGTGATATTATATTTTTAATTTATTTTTTATTTTTATTTTTTCTGGTGGATACTGTGACTTGTGTCATCAAGCAATATAATCAGCAGGTCCCCAGAGCAAACAGCACATGCATCACAGAGTTTTCAAAAACAGGATAAAAAAGGCCTATTTTATGTTTATCCTAATATTTTAAAAGCATACAATGCTATTTATGAAGTTTTTCAATCTGATTTAAAAAATGACACAAGATTTGAAACACTTGCACTTCCAGCCAAGAAATTCCTGTGCCCCCCACCATCCACTGTGCCTAGTGAAAGGGTGTTGAGTGAAATGGGCATGATTTGTGACCCCAAGAGGGGCCCACTGACTGGACACCATGCACACCAACCCTGCTTTCTCCATTACAATTTGAAGTTTCTTAACTTTAAATATTAAAATGGAACTAGATCTTGAACATGTTGAATTTTGTCCATCTCTTTATGGCCACCATGTAACCATCCTCAGATGGCTACAACAGCAGGACCATGTCACAAAGCTTGAATCATTTCAAATTGGTTTTTTGAACATGACAATGAGTTGACTGTACTAAAATGGCCCCCACAGTCACCAGATCTCAATCTAATAGAACTTCTTTGGGATGTGGTGGAACGGGAGCTTCGTGCCCTGGATGTGCATCCCACAAATCTCCATCAACTGCAAGATGCTATCCTGTCAATATGGGCCAACATTTCTAAAGAATGCTTTCAGCACCTTGTTGAATCAATGAAGAACCAAGGCAGTTCTGAAGGCGAAAGGGGGTCAAACAAAGTATTATTATGGTGTTCCTAATAATCCTTTAGGTGAGTGTATATTTAAAGCAGTACGTAACAGTGTCAGAAATGTTCACAAACAATAGGCTAATAATCTCAGTTAATGTTAAATGATGTTGAATTAAATCTGTAGAAAGGTTTAAACAAATCAAGAGAAGATATTTTTTAAATACAGGTATAGTGGTTCTTCTTTAGCTCGTGGCTAAAAACTGAAATCATTATGCAACGGACCAAATTATGTAATCCACATGGGTCCCCATATGGCCTAATTTGACTAATAAACATGGTTGTTAAAGGTCATTATCTATGTTTCCACATGTTGCCTTAGTCCATATACCCAGAAGGCTTTTCTGTCCAGAGCTGCTCTCAGTGGGATAACAGAACAGACAATTATTTTGTAATGATAACACATTAATTAAACCCCACTGACCATACATTTACACCGACATCCCTTTGGGCTTATC